ACACACACACACACACACACACACACACACACACACACACACACACACACACACACACACTCACGCACACACACACACACACACACACACACACACACACACACACACACACACACACACACACACACACACACACACACACACACACACACACACACTAGTACGATCTGTCCTCCTCGGAGGCGCGCGTCCGACCCGATCATACAGTATGACCATCTTGTAGTGTATCGTTTCCCGCGCGGTACTGGCAGACAGCGCTCGACACGATGCATACACAATGCGATTTATCGGTGCGCGCGCCGCCCCCGAGGGGGCGACGCACACATCGCATCAATATGTTGGGGCGCCGCCGAGATCTGGCGCGTGGGCGCCAGATCCGTGGATCGGGGGTGGCACACCCGCCACATGTGGCCACTGCCGCCCGACTCGGTGACGGGGCGCGCCGATTCCGGGGTGCGCCGCAGATCCAGGCGCTCGGATCCAGGCTTTCGTTTCCCCGAGGGGAGCGCGGAGGAGGCAGCAGAGGAGGAGGGCGGCCCCCCTCGACTCCGGGCGTGAGAAGACGCTCGCTCGACGCTTCTGGCACCCTCGCCTGGTCAGGGGGCAGCAGAAGCCAGCGGCGCACACGTGGGTCGAAACCTGCTCAGGAATCTCAGAAGATGGCCGACCGAACCAACGGCCGCCGTGCCCAAGCAGGGAGGCCTGCTTCGGCTGTGGACAAACCTCCCTTCAATAAACCTCCCTCTAGAGAAAACGGCCTGGGACCGAAGCCGACGGACCTGGACCCGCACAACCTGACGGCCGCGACGCCCTCTCGCGAGCCGAAAGCGGCCAATTCCTCCATCGACGTGTCAAAGTATGAGGTCTGTCCACCCCCGATTCTGCCCCTGACCAGAAGCGGCGGCCACGAGCCGCGGCGAGGAGCCGCGAACGAACCCGAACGGTCAGGAAGCACTCCGCACGGCCAGAGCTTCCGTTGTCCCTCCCTCCCTCCCTCCCTCCCTCTCTCGTTCTCCCTCCCTCTCTCTATCCCTCTATCTCTCGCTCTCGCTCTTGTGTTATTCTCTCTCTCTCTCTCTTGCTCTATCTCTCTCTATATATATAGATAGATAGATCGATGTTTCGATGCCCCCCTAACTCTATGTATATATGATGTGTTGTTCGTGTTTTGTTGGTTTTCTCTCTCTCTCTCTGTCTCTGTCTCTATCTCTCGCGCTCTGTTCGACTTGTTTGTTATTTCTCTCTCTCTCTCTCTCTCTCATTATTCCATTTGCCACCATAGGCACTCGTTCTTTCACATGTTGGTCCACGGGTGGATGGCATGAGCGAACGTTCGGCGGAGACGTGGCAACGACGCAACGCTGGAAGCAACACGCGGCGGGAGACACGTGTCGACACCCCTTTGGAAGATTCGTGCCGCCGGGCCACCCTCGCCTTCCAAGCGGCCCCGCCGCGCGAACCCACGCGGCGAGACGCGGCGAGCAACGATGCGCAGTGCCCTCTGGTCGCGCGACGCCCTGCCGTCGCCGGGTGCTCGCCAGCGGAGGGCAAACAACGCGGGATGAAGAACCGCACGCCCCTCCGTGCGCCTGGCAGTAGGCCCGCGGCGGCAGCTCTCGGCGCGCGTCCGGCACCCTGCTGCTCCCCCCACTCCGAGGGGCTCCCCCCACGCGCGCCGCGGTGGGGAGGAGGAGGAGGAGGAGGAGGAAGGGGAGGAGGAGGAGGAGGAGGAGGAGGAGGAGGAGGAGGAGGAGGAGGAGGAGGATTAGGTTAGGACAGCCCCGAGGGGAAGAGTCTCGCAAGACTGAAACAATGGGGGGAAATGGCACCCCTCAGAGAGGGATTTGTTACCCTGGAGGACAGAGCTCCCCACACTCTGACCAGGGCCCGCGACGGGGTGCCACGACCCAAATCTACTCTTCAGCCTGGTGGGCCTCCTTGGCACGCACTCGCTCTGCGAGGGCGGCCATCCGTCTCTCATACTCAGGGACGGTGGGGGCACTCGAATGGGCCGAGGGAACAGACGTTCGGGCAAGAGTCTTACAACGCGGCTTGGGGACCACAGACATTGCAGTGACCGCAGCAGCTCTATTGATCAATTGACGGACACGGCTACTGGGGCCCAGGCCTCGCGAGTACTTACTTAATACCTCGCATCCCTTCCTTGAGGGTCGTTGGCACTCCTTGTCAAGATTACGGGAGCACCTCTGGGCCCAGCAGCCGCATCGAACGCACAAAAACTGAAGCCGATTCTTCTTGGCTTGCGATGGCTCTGGGGCTCTGGGGTGGATCTCGTGAGAGGCCACACCAACTATCAGGTGCCCCAGGGAACGGCGGACGACCTGACGAACGCAATCGGGGGCCCCAGAGCAGCCCAGAGCCTCTTGGGGGGTACCCTCGTGGGCGACCACCAGACAATGCTTGCACTGCGTACCAAGCGGTCCACTCTCCCACTCATGCCACCCAGGAGCTGACTTTACAGAGCGGTGACGGGCAAAGGGCCTGACGCGCTTCGCTCGGGACTGGAAGGCTGGTAGAACACTAGCTGCAAGCTTGACAAAGTAACTGGCGGTCTCTACTTCAGACTCTAAGCGATTGGCCGCCTCGGGTCCGATGGGAGCGTGCATCTTGAGAGCCTCCTTGGCGTGGAGGTCCGCAGAGCGGTTACCTTTCGCAGGCGCCCGCTCCTCAAGCGGCAAGTTATCTATCACGCCCTCGCTTCGATGCGCCTTAACATGCTGGAGGGACCTGATGTGGCCGTGCCCACTGAGGGAGCGGGCGAAGGCCGAAACGCCAGCGAACACCTTGCTCGCACGAAGCTGTTCGTGCTCAGGAAGGAGGGCCTGGCTTATTGCTGCTTTACAATCGGCATGCATGTAGGTACTGCGATCAGCGATCTGGCAAGCGACAGCAATCGAGAAATTTTCAGCCATCGCGGGGGACTGCGGAAAGCCTCCAGGCACAGTGCCACGCACTACCGAGAGGGTGGCCTCGGCCTGGGGGTCAAACAGTACTACCGCATACGCAGCACGCTGAAAACAAGACAAAATCGGCATGGTGCTGCTTCCGTCCACCGCGATGTGAAGGTTATCGCTATGACCGACGAATTGCACAGACTTCTCGGGCTCCAAATCGGGAAAAACCTCCCCAAAACCGTCCAGGAGGAGGAGGAGGAGCAGGAGGAGAAGGAAGGGGAGGAGGAGGAGGAGGAGGAGGAGGAAGAGGAGGAGGTGGAGGTGGAGGTGGAGGGAGGAGGGAGGCAGCACGC